TTCTAACTACTTTCATAATGTCCCATAGGTTTTGGTATATTGTATCACTATTATCATTTGATTCTGAGAGTTTTCAATTTCTATGATGATTTCTTCTGTTACCCATTTATCATTCAAAAAGCCTTTATTTCTAAATGGCTTTAGCTTCAGTTATTACATATACATTTTTGGATTATTTTCAAGTTCTGTAACTGACTTCATTGATATTTTGATGAAGAGTGTATTGAACCCAAAGATGGCTTTGGATAATATGGAAATTTTTGATAACGGCTATTCTTCTGATCCAGGAAACATTTTTGTGTTCAATTTTATTATGTAAAATTTATTTTTATCATTTTCATTGTTGAGATCCTTAACCTATATATTTAAATTTATTATTTGGTATTTTTATAGCTATCATATAAAGGACTGTTTTAGCTTCTATTTGAGATATTTTGAAAGGATGTATTGAGCTGTCTATGTTGATTGTGGACCTGAAACTTTATGGAATTTATTTATTAGTTCAAGTGTTTTTCTAGTGAAGTCTTTGGGGTTTTCTATGTATCAAATCATGCCATTTGCAAACAGTGCCAGGTTAATTTTTTATTTTCCAGTTTGGATTACCTTTATTTCTTTCTCTTCTCTGAATGCTCTGACTTGAACTTCTAACAATATATTGAATAAAAGTGGTGGAAGTGAACATCCTTGTCTTGCTTTAAGCCTTAGAAAGTTTTCAGCTTTTCCTTTTCAGTTTAATTTTAGTTGTTGACTTATAAATGTCCTTTATTGAATTTAAATAATTCCTTGCTCTTAGTTCTCTTTACTAAATATGTTAATGGAGTTGACTGCCAGCCTCTCATTGGGGGATTCTTCTTCCTCCCTAGGATGATGTAAGCCACCCTGAAACTTAAAGTCTCAAATAACTGGTGAAGAACAAAACACAAATAGTGAGAAATATATTTTCAAAAGGGAAGGCCCTGATAGATCTAGTCCACATGGGTACTGGAACTAGACAAAGAAAAGATTGCACTGGTGGTTTATTTAAGGGGTACATCAAAGGTAGGAACAAGGTTTCAAGGGTGAAGTCTTGCTTCCTGATGTCTTATAGTCAGTCAGCAAGTTGATTGACATCTTGGCAGGTCACACTCATCTCAGGTGCTGTGTGGGATCTTTAGCAGAGCTTGAGGAGAAAGTTAACCTGGATCAGGCAGTCAATCCCTGTGGGGGTGCCACAGGAAGTTCCCAATGCCAGACTTATCCCCTCACTAGACTACAATGTACAACATATCACACACAGCCCATGGACAGCTCTTGACAGTATGTACTCACTAAATATTTTATTTTAGACAGCTTTTTCACACCTGTGACTAAAAGACCTGACAAAAACAATTTTAGAGGAGGAAAGTTAATTGGGGGCTCACAGTTTCAGAGGTCTCAATCCACAGACAGCTCATTCTATTCCTCGAGGCTCGAGGAATGACCCACATCCTACCTATCTTCAGTTATCAGTTAATCTCCATCAAGGGATTAATCACCAATCAGGTTAAGGGTTTCATAATCCAACCATTTCTCCTCTAAACATCATACATGAGTTTTTGGGAGACATCTCACATCAAAACCATAACATATTTAATATATTGTTTGAGATCAGTTTTTTTAAAGAGAGAGTGTGAA